TTTAAAGATTCAATGATCATTCTTACTCTTTTTTAAATTTGAGTTTGCTCTCATTTAAATTTGAGTATTTATTCTTTAAATTTGAGTTTGTCCATTGAAGTCTTTTATATTAAATCAAGTTTTTTACTCAAATATTAATATAAATTTGAGTAAAAATTTAAGTCACGGTTGGAGATACTGAGCAAATTTTTTGAGTTTCTTTATTCAAATTTAAAATTGAGTTTTAAATTGAATTAAGATTAAAAATGCTCAAACCAAAGATTAGTTCTAGTTGGAATTGAAATAGAGTAGGTAGATAAATTCAATCAGCTATCAACACACGCCACCTCCCAACACACAACCTAAGGGTTAGTAACGTTACATCATGAATCCGAGAAAAATGGTCGGTGGTATCAATAAAAATTAACGTTGATCTAACGTTTGACTGGCGGAAGGATTGCCCTATAAAGTTTTACACTAAACTAAAAGGGTCATTGTATGATTTCATTAACCATAAGGGCGCCTTTGAAATTAATGTGAATCATATGGGGTTTCATTATAATTACCCCATATATCTGGGGTTTCATTAAACGCGTCAACAAAAATGATTATTATTTTCTGCGCAACCCGCGCCGCTCTCTTACATTTGAAATTTAGAACAAGAAAACGTGTGAGCCCATCGTCACGCTTTCTGCTTAGTGGATGGACCCAGCAGATACATCTTCAATGGCAGTCCTAAATTACAATTAATAACACAAAATAAATAAATCAAATGATAATAGGTACGAATTATAAATTTAAATATTTTGAATTCGAATTTTAATAGTTTTTTGAGCTTACGAGGAATTTGATTTATCCACAACGTGGATGGCCTGTCCTACTGAATCAAAAAGATGATTAGTAAAAGTGCATGTAAGCCGACTTATATGCATCTAATCGTTGAACCAAAAAATAACTAAATAAATAAATTATAAGGATAGATTTGTTTTTTAAATCTAAAATTAAGATTCAATAAAAAAAATTATAGGGATTTTAAAAAAAAAATCAATAAAAAAAATGCAATTATAAAAGATAAATCATCATTAAAAAGTTAAAGATCAATCTGAAAATATTCAGAACAATCTGTACATTTTAGGAGCAATTCCAAACGTAAAGATCAAGTTTTACGTTTCTCACATGATTGAATTATAATATCATCCAATTAGGGGTAATTTGTGACTGATGATACAATGTAATGTGAATAATTTTGATATAAATGTTAATGACAAATGAGTCTATTTGAGACTGTCGAATGAACTTATTGAAATTTGTCATGTTTTATATTATACATTGAATAACAATTTTTGATGTAATTCCAATAGATCATAACCATAGCCTTTCTTAAATTACATTTTTATCCTTATGGAGAGAATTTGTCCTTATGAGGTATTTACAACTGCCATTTTTTTAATTTTTCCTTAAGAATATGTTTAAAATGCCTATTACGAATTCTTGATTACAATTTAAAATTCAAATATTTTCAATCCAAACTTTTATGATATGTTTATTTTTGTTGAATGTTCAGACTAGTTTACGCACACATCAACTAATTCCCTCATCGGTCTAGTCAAAAATAGGTCATTGACGCCGGGACTAGGGTATTTATAAAAAATAAATCCCTCATTATATGATTTCATGAGGTTGCCAATATTCGAATTTAAGATATCTGAGTTTACTACTCATCTCTTATTACCACTTGAACTACCTTAAATTTATGAATAAGAATTACTAATTTTATTATTGCTTGGAATTTAAATAAGTAGGTCTCATAATCAAGGGTAGTTGGTGCAACTAGGTAGGAAGTCCTAATTCAACAATTGAGATTTATACACTATCAATTAAACATTGCAGTCATAAAGGGATCTTACTATCGGTAGTTCCAAATTATTTATGAGCCAATAATTGGGTTGGTATTTTTATTGCTCGGTCGGAATTGGGACAAAAAAAAAAAAAAAACGGATTTAACTCCAACTAAACTCGGTTTGTATAATGTTGTTATTGAAATTTGAGGGTGACACGTGGAGGTGATCTAACGGTCAAGAGAAAACCAACAAAAGTCCAAAGTCCAAAGGTGATCTAACGGTCAAGAGGTGATTCCTTTGTAGTTGCTGGTGTGAATTGGCTACCAAATGGGAAATTTGGAACCTGTTCACATTAGAGTTGGTCTTTATTTGGACACCTTTCAGGTTACTATGACTCATTCCTTTCTCACCTAACCCTTTATATAACACTTCAACACAAAGATAAACAAAATGTGGTGTTGTAAATTGACCCGATGCACTTCTAAACTGTGAGTTGCTTCTCCCTCACTAAATCTGCAATGTCTTGTTCTTCTCGTCAACATACATTTCGGGTCAGACTCTGATCCGTGTAATCTAAGTTATGATTCCATGAAAGATTTTTGACTTGGATATTGATTTCTCTTTGAAATGTCTAAGACGCAAAAAAATAAAAAATCAAAATCAAAATCAAACATAGAAACTTGTATTCATCCAATAATTATAATGAAGTCTGGTCAACAAATGAGATTAGATTTTTAGATTTACATAGTATTACACAAACTCAAATGATAACACTGTACATTTAAACATAATATAAGAAAAAATTCAAAAAAATTGTAATTTTTTTTTTAAAAAAAAAACTAGTAACACCGTACTCTTAAACATAATATAAAGAAAAAATTCAAAATAATTTTTTTTAAAAAAATAAAAAAAAATTGGTGACACCGTACGCTTAAACATAATATAAGGAAAAAATTCAAAATAAATTTTTTATATGTAAACTCTTAACAAATGAGGGCATTTGTGTTAATTTGCATGTTTGTACCGTCCTTTCATTTAATTCATGAAAATAATATCACCAGATAAGTGGTATTCATTAATACCATGTACAAAACATTAATGGTACTGTTCAAATTGAGTAGGTATTACAATCTAAAAAATAATACTAGCTGTAAAATGTTAAACAAATAAGATATAGGATGGTTTCACGTACTATTATGTAATCTCACTTCCTAATACCACACTTATCCCCAAAACAAACTAGCCCCAATAGTCTTGCACTTGCGCTATCGAGTCACTTGCTCCGCTTCCAAAGAATGACTCGATGGATAGAGTAAAGAAAAGAAAGTGGCTGATGGCGGTGTAGAGCCATAAGGAGAGAAGTTCACACACATTAGCTCATAGAGGACGGGATTACATTCACTTGCTTATCACTCTGCTCTATACTCAAAAAAGTGGATAAGGTGAATCCCACTTGGGTGATTATTTAATTACATGATAAAGTGATTACTATTATATATGAAATTCATTTGCTTATTTGTTATATTTTTATTGAATAGTGACACTATATGAACATGATGACATATTGTTTTTAATATTTTTTCCTTCCGAAGGGAATTGAACATAGTCATAACTTGGATTATGTTTTTTTCAAAAAACACTAGTGGCTTCATGATATTTATCTAGCGCCTTTAATTATTGTTTTTTATTTTTGATTTTTGGGTTTAATGGTTAATGGTGTCAGATTTAATTTATATGCACTTTGATTAATCCCTTCACTGGTTCAGTCAAAAATATATCATCCACATCGAAATTAAGATATTTATGAGAAATAAATTTTTTATGATCTGACTCTAAGTAATTGTTAATATTTAAATTTACAGTTTATCACTGTTATCACTTAAACTATATTAATAAAAAAAAATTCAACCGGAGAATTAAAACAATGCCAGACAATTAAAGCTAAAGATTTTCTAAATTACATAATTTTGAAATTTATAATTACAATGGAAAAGTAAATTTTTCCCTATTTTGTTCTTTATTTTTTGGGTCCCACAAATTTTATTGCTCATAACTGCAACAAAAGATACCGTAGAGAACACGAGTTTTAAGAAAGCCACATTACATTAAAATAAAAAATTAAAAAAGCAAACTAGACAGTAACTCCTTGTAATTACAGTATAAGCAAGGGTTATATGAGTAATTAAAGTACCGAAAGCTCCATTGAAAATATTAGAAAATTCAGAAATGGCTGTGTTCCTATAACTTTCCTAGCAGACCAAAAATCATTATGACTAAAAGGAAATTCATAGGAAGTTTCAGTAATAAGTCGTAAATTTAGATGCATTGGATTTAAATTTTGATAATTTTTTAAAATTTAAAAATTTTATTTTTTATGAATATTATAATTTTTGCATGAATAACATATTTTGGATTTGACCAAAAAAAAAACTTATTTTTGATCGAATCGAGAAAAAATTTAATAGAATTACTTGTAAATTGGCTGTGTGAATATCACTGAAAAAAAAATTTAAAAGAAAATTAATAAAGTGAGAGGACTTCACGTCTCGGTCGTGATCAAGATCTGCCACGTGGCACCTGTTACATGAGGGTCCCACGCTGACGTGGTAAAAGAGCGTGAACTAGAGTTTCTAAAAGGGTTTAGAGGGAGAAGACGGAGACTATAGAAAATTTCAGAGAGAGAAAATTCAGAGAGATATAGAGCGAGAAACAAGGCGCGGAAAGGCCGTCCGAAATTGAGAGAGACAGAGCTGCAATTCTTCTCTTTTGTCGTTGCCTTTCTTACGTTAAACACTCCTCTGTTCTAGGGCAACAAAATCCCAAGAAATTTGAAAAAACAAGGAAAGTTTAATTCAGCGGAGAATACACGGAGTCGCAACGGTCAGATCAGCGAAAAAATAAAAAAAATTAGTCAGATCTTGCTGTTCTCATTGCCTAATTGACTGCGATCGATCAGTTCAATTTATAGATTTGTCCATTCACAGCTCCGATCATAATCTGTTTGTGTGAATCTTTGATTTTTTTTTCTCTCTCTTTGTATCATTCTTTAATTATTGGTGGTGGAATTTTGTGTATATTGAGCTTGGAGATCCTTCTAGGGAGGTCTAGAAGGGTTTGGATCCGCCAGCGATTGATCGGCCGGTTCGAGTCGTCAGGTCTTTCGTCGGATGAGAGAGGCTTATGTTTCAGAAATCATCTGGGAAAACGATGAAATGGGTCACATTGCTTAAAGACTTCAAAGAAAAAGTCGGTCTCTCTCAACCTCCTTCTGCATCATCTTCTCCCTCATCAACTTCCTCCTCCTCTTTGCCGGTTAACAATGCTTCTTCAACCAAACATGACTTCCTGTCATCGCCTTCAAGGTTGGTCATATATATATACCGCTGCTATATAATATCTTAAGATTCCAATCTGTGCCTTGCTACTACAGTGACCTTTTCTTTGTATTATATCCCTACATGTGTGGCCTGTTGATATGGTTGTTTTCATTTTAAGTTTATTGGAATTTTGATTTTGTGCNTTGACTTGGATATTGATTTCTCTTTGAAATGTCTAAGACGCAAAAAAATAAAAATCAAACATAGAAACTTGTATACATCCAATAATTATAATGAAGTCAGGTCAACAAATGAGATTAGATTTTTAGATTTACATAGTATTACACAAACTCAAATGATAACACTGTACATTTAAACATAATATAAGAAAAAAATTTAAAAAAATTTTAATTTAAAAAAAAAAAAAACTAGTAACACCGTACTCTTAAACATAATATAAAGAAAAAATTCAAAATAATTTTTTTTTAAAAAATAAAAAAAAATTGGTGACACCGTACACTTAAACATAATATAAGGAAAAAATTTAAAATAAATTTTTTATATGTAAACTCTTAACAAATGAGGACATTTGTGTTAATTTGCATGTTTGTACCGTCCTTTTATTTAATTCATGAAAATAATATCACCAGATAAGTGGTATTCATTAATACCATGTACAAAGCATTAATGGTACTGTTTAAATTGGGTAGGTATTACGACTAAAAAAATAATACTAGCTGTAAAATATTAAATAAATAAAGTATAAGGTGAGTTCTACGTACTATTCCGTAATCTCACTTCCTAATACCACACTTATCCCCAAAACAAACTAGCCCCAATAGTCTTGCACATGCGCTATCGAGTCACTTGCTCCACTTCCAAAGAATGACACGATGGATAGAGTAAAGAAAAGAAAGTGGCTGATGGCGGTGTAGAGCCATAAGGAGAGAAGTTCACACACTTTAGCTCATAGAGGACGGGATTACATTCACTTGCTTATCACCCTGCTCTATACTCAAAAAAGTGGATAAGGTGAATCCCACTTGGGTGATTATTTAATTACATGATAAAGTGATTACTATTATATATGAAATTCATTTGCTTATTTGTTATATTTTTATTGAATAGTGACACTATATGAACATTATGACATATTGTTTTTAATATTTTTTCCTTCGGAAGGAGATTGAACATAGTCATAACTTGGATTATGTTTTTTTCAAAAAACACTAGTGGCTTCATGATATTTATCTAGCGCCTTTAATTATTGTTTTTTATTTTTGATTTTTGGGTTTAATGGTTAATGGTGTCAGATTTAATTTATATGCACTTTGATTAATCCCTTCACTGGTTCAGTCAAAAATATATCATCCACATCGAAATTAAGATATTTATGAGAAATAAATTTTTTATGATCTGACTCTAAGTAATTGTCAATATTTAAATTTACAGTTTATCGCTGTTATCACTTAAACTATATTAATAAAAAAAAATTCAACCGGAGAATTAAAACAATGCAAGACAATTAAAGCTAAAGATTGTCTAAATTACATAATTTTGAAATTTATAATTACAATGGAAAAGTAAATTTTTCCCTATTTTGTTCTTTATTTTTTGGGTCTCACAAATTTTATTGCTCATAACTGCAACAAAAGATACCGTAGAGAGAACACGAGTTTTAAGAAAGCTACATTACATTAAAATAAAAAATTAAAAAAGCAAACTAGACAGTAACTCCTTGTAATTACAGTATAAGCAAGGGTTACATGAGTAATTAAAGTACCGAAAGCTCCATTGAAAATATTAGAAAATTCAGAAATGGCTGTGTTCCTATAACTTTCCTAGCAGACCAAAAATCATTATGACTAAAAGGAAATTCATAGGAAGTTTCAGTAATAAGTCGTAAATTTAGATGCATTGGATTTAAATTTTGATAATTTTTTAAAATTTAAANGAATCAATGTGTTCCACGATCAAAAAATAGCAGACTAGGTATTTTATTTTTATATATTATGATTGTGAATATAAGAGTTCACTTTTTTATGTACTGTGTACTAGTTAAACTGCTGAGGATTAATGCTTTGGTTAGAATGGAATTCAAAAGACAACTGGCCGGAATTTTAGGGAAATTTTGAAGGGTAAAGGTTCTAAGGCTGAAATTGGTGGGCTAAATTAGGGTTAGGGTTTTTGATTGATTTGAAGTTTTGGGAGAGAATATAGGCTTCTTTAAAAGCTGCCTGTGAACTTTCTGATAATCAATCATGCACAACAGAGGTACAAATGAGAAAATTAAAACAAAAGAGATGATAAATGGTGAATCCAAGTCGCTTTAGGGTTCTCACCAAGAATTGCTGTCACCATAAAGTTGTTCAGAATTTGCAGAGTCTTCTATAGATTAGTCTAGTTGGATTATCTGTACGTGTATTGATCATATTGTATGGGAGTCAAGAAGTAAACCATGCACTTTGTAATTTTGAATCTCTTATTTGTTACTTGATAATAATGAACATTCAGTGCTGAAACATTGTTGTGCTGAAGACATGAGCGACTAAACTTGTAGCTTAATAATTTAAGTTTGAATTTCTTAGTTCAAATTGTATATCTATGCCTGATAAAAAAAAATTGTATATTTATGCGTATACAAACACATGTGCACATGTATAACCATCAAATTATGGAGTAGAGGGATTGAGAAGCTTCCCCTTCCTATTTGCTTAATTCTTCTATTGTTGACTTATTGAATTGAAAGCAACACTTCCTTTAATTTTTTTCACATTATTCATATAACCACTCCCGCAAACTTCCTACTCCTTGAGCCTCTCACTTTCATTACTCTTTTAACTTGTCATCTCTACCTAGCAACAGAGAAAGGAGAGGGGGGAGATGTAAAAAAATTACCAACTTAATATTTAGCCCATGTATAATATTTGTATATTTATTAAAATTCCCTTTTGGAGCGGAAGGATGGGTTGCTAGTGTAGACGATTTTGAAGAAATAATCGGCGGACATGTATGGTTAGGTTCCATTTGTATACTTGGTGGTATCTGACATATCTTAACCACACCCTTCACATGGGCTTCATGCTCTATTTTTTTTTAATAATCTAATTTTCTTGAAAGACAAGAAATGTCATAAAGATTAGTCTCAGTATAAAAGATATAATATTCCATCAAATTCACTATTTTTCTAGGCTTTGTCTTTCAAGAGTTTGTCATCTAGTTGATGCATGCAATGAGAATGACATCTTGCTGTAATTTTCAGTTGACCAAAACATTTGACCCCATAAAATCTTTTGCTATGATATTTGTGCATCAAATAACATCTGTAGCTGATTATTTTTGTTTTTTGGGGTATTGATAAAAGCCTCTACAATGTTTGATGACATATAACTCAGCACGTAACAATTTTGCTTTTTGGTACTTATCGTCGTTGTTTATCTATATTTCCTTGCATATGCCTATAAGATAAGTGTGAATTAGTTTACTCGCTCCGGGTTTATATCTTTGCTTGTGTGTGGGCATATTGTCAATTGCAACTACAGAGTTATTTGATTGCAAGTAGTGGGTAGAGTCTTGATCAAGCCTGCTCATGCGGGACACTAGGGAGGCTCAGTAACATATATGCTTTGGAAAATGGATGGGAACATAGAAGTGATTGGGGTTGAGATAAAAATTATAGCGTTTTGCCACACAAAAGTATCTAGATTTGTCAGCAAGTTCAAAGGAACTAATAATTATCAGTGAAAAGCTCTCTTACTGTGATAAATGTTATCTGTTTCACCACGTAAAACATTTTCTTATATGTGATTTAGTGTGAGGTGTTATCATGACAATAACAGGAGTGATGTCAATTAATTTGTATGCCAGGATTGTTGAGATCCCATTGATATCTCAGTATTGATTTGATATATTTTTCTCCGATTAGCCTGTTCATATACTCCATTGTATATTTGTATGGGTTTTCTTCTCTTATCCTCCCCTCTTCTTATAGTAGAGACAAACATGAACTGGAATTGGACTTCAAGAGATACTGGGAAGAGTTCCGTTCATCAAGTTCTGAAAAGGTTAGGACATGTGAATTATGTCAATTGTCTTTCTTTCCTGTTTCCTATGTTAAAAAGATTTGACGGCTAATGGCTTTTCTTTGCCCATGCAGGAGAAAGAAAAGGCCTTGAACTTGACTGTAGATGTTTTCTGTAAATTAGTGAAGCAGCATGCTAATGTAGCTCAGTTAATTACCATGTATGAAGACAGCTCTCCTTTGGCTAACTTGTCACTTGATTTTTTAAGTTCTCCTGAACTCAATTGTTAGAACTTTTTTCTCGCTGTAAATGTGTTTTTATGTGGACTAAGTGACTTGTTGAGAGAAACGGATACATATTTAATTAGGACATATGCTAACCTCCCCTGTCGCTCTCTCTCTGCCCTGAAAATCACATGGTGCTGCAAACACAGATAAATATTTCTTTTAATAAGCACTTGTTAGCTTTAATCAAAGAAGCATAGACACGGGACATAGATACAATATGACACGGGCACGCAGACACTACATTTTTTGAAAAAAGTAGGATACGGATACGTTGAGAATATATTACATATAATTGTGTTTTATATATAAAATTATATAATTTATCACAAATGTAGTGATAATGGTTTATTATTCATAAAAAAATCAATATTTTTATGATAAGTAAATGTTATCTCTAGTCATTTAGTGTGAATATTTAGACTAGCATCATAATAATTAATAGTTATTAATTTTTTCGTAGATTTGAACTATACATATATAATTTAAATGATTGCTCTCATCTCAAGTGCTCTTTTCTAAATGTTTTATATATCTTTTGCTTTTGTTATTATATTTTGAGTATAATTTTAACATGTTTAGTCTTGATAATTATATTTCCTCTCATAGTATAAGGTAGTTTAGTAGTAGACACGATTTAAAGAAGTGTTGGACACGTGTCCAAAATTAAAATTTTAGCATTTAATTATGAACACGGATAAACGAGTATTGGACATGTGTCCGAGGAGTGTCAGTGTCCGACACGGATAGTGTTCATGCTTCATAGACTTTTAATGAATAAATGGTGAATCTGAAAATAGAGAATGCAAGAATTTCTTCAATTCCAAATGAGGTTTTACAGAAACACACACCCCTACTCGGGATAAGGCTGAATTAAGTTGAATATCCAACATAGTACCAAGTTGATTTCTAGAAAGTAATTTAACTCCTTGAACATTAAATACTCATGCAGTATTTGAACGTTAGTAGGAAAATACTACTACAATTACTCTGATATGCAATGTGGTAGACTTTACAGCTTATATGGGTACAAACAAAAGTAATATGAAAGCAGCGTGCTCACTTGTAGCATGCAGATTCAGCATAATGCATGAAACACAGCTCTTTTGGCATATGGCATGGCTGTCAGTTACATTTTTTGCCTGACTGTTGCGGTCATCAATGCAATGTGTTTGCTATGCCTCACAGCTCCATGTCAATTGGAGCAAGATACCTTTCCATCCCTTTTTGGTTTTGACCACTCCTAACTGTTGGTATAGTTTTGCACCATTGGCGTTCTTGTAATTTTCAGTGTGAGGTTCCTTAGAAATAGTTAGGAAACTTTTGACATTTTCAAGTATCATTAAAATCACTGGCATAAGAAAGTAAGGTATTCTTATGTCATGTCTTTAAAGGTTTGGAATCCCGTTAACAATGTATCCTCATACTGGTCATATCTGGACATTATGAAACATTAATTTAGGAATAAGTCAGCTGAAGTCAAATTTTGATGTTAACTAGTTCTTCAATTTCATGAGTTGATCAGTTGCAAAGCAGGTCATTTGTGCGTTCCAACTTCTTAGACTGTTTCACTGGAAGCTCTGAGTCAATATCTTCCATAACCTTTCACCATGATCAATTGTAGTATCCTTCTTTTTATACCTGGTTCTTGTATCATTGAAGAGTCTAAAAACAAGAAAAGGAAGTGCCTCACAGTCATGATTACCCCAAGGATTTGGTTGGTTTGTCTCACCTATACATATATATAAAAGCATTATCTTTTGTTCGGGTGTAGTATACCTTCAATTTTCTTATGAGCTATACATATTATTATGCTTCAACATGTGTAAAATATTTTGTAGGTGGTTGTTCTAGTTGGTATGCTACTTGGCTTTCAGCATTGCCACTTGGGTTCTTGAGCTGCACACTACTTTTTCTTTTTCTCCCTCATAGATTCCAAGTGACACAGAAAGATTTTCAGAGATGTGGTACCTCATGCTAAAAACCTTTCTAAAAGACCTACCGCAGGAACACATAGTGGGAGCTAGCTTTCCTCTTTGGTTTTGTATGGATAATTTCTTTGTCAGAGAATTTGATTGCTGTGATCTATGCATGTGTCATTCTCATGAGACTTTCGTGACTTCTATTTTTGTTTATGAATTGTGGCCTTCACCTTGGATGACTTGTGTTGGAATTGGAGCTGATTTTTTATAATTCATCGAATCCTTTAGAAAAATAGCCTCTGTGTTTCTTTTCCTCAGAATTATTTTTAGTAGTCTCAGGTGAGCATATATTGAGCAGCTTCTAAATTGTTGTTGATCTACAGGTTAGTAGAAACACACATATTTTCTTTTGTTGTGGGAAGAGCATTTGTAACGGATATTGAAAAATTGAAAATTAGCAGCAAAACAAGATCTTTGGAAGTTGAGAGAGTATTAAGCTTTTTTTCGGAAATTACAAAGGTTTGCATTTAGATGCTAATATCTAAAATTTTTCTTCTCTGTCTTTCCCCTTTTAAATTCTCCTTTTCCAGTGGTGAATGTTATATATAAGTATTTACTAAGTAATATTCATTCGTGCTTCTCCACAGGATGGCATCAAGCCTGGTTCAAATTTATTAGATGCAGTGGAAGTCCTTGTATCTGGGGTACATCTGTAAACTTTATTTCTTTTTCCAATTTTTTTGTAGTCTGGCTTTCTGACTCATAGTTTACTTTAGTTTCGATGCAATCTTCACAAGTTTAGGTTTTCTTTATTCTCTAGCCTCTTAAAAAATTTTAACGCTGTTGTCAAAAAATTTGTTAAAGGCGAGACCACTCAAGTATCTATATTCCTTTGAAATTTAGATTGCATTGTTGTTGAGTGCATGCAGTGACCTAATGTTGTTATTTTTTGAATTATGGATACAAAAACTCGCATGCCTGGACGTTAGCATCTTTCAGTTTTCTAATCACTACTGGCATATAATGTTTGCAGCCTATTGATAAACAATCTCTCCTTGATTCTGGGATCTTATGCTGTCTCATTCTTATCCTCAACACTCTTTTGGGTCCTGATGTGGGCAATAAAGGGAAAAAAGTTACTACTTATGAGGACACGATACCAGAGGATAGAAATTTTGATGGTGATTTAGGACCAGTCCGCCGGCTTGAGGTTGCTTTCTTTCTTTATGTTACATTCTATGTATTAGCTAAACTTGTTTCTTTCAGCACATAGGTTTTCCGCATAATTGTTACTATGTTGGTAGATCTAGACCCTGATTATAGCATCTTTTAGGCAAAAGCCTTTTCACATATACCCCTGTTCGGTTCAAATATTTCTTATCCTTTGGGGCATCTTGCCACTTTTTTAAGTTATGATGGGGAGAAGTCATGCTTATATGTCATATTACTACGTATTTTAACTTGGTCTAACTTTGGTTTGGGCAAGTGATGATACGTACACTGCTACATCCTTGTAGTGGATCATATAACAAGGCAATGGCANCGGACTGTTGTGGTCATCAATGCAATGTGTTTGCTATGCCTCACAGCTCCATGTCAATTGGAGCAAGATACCTTTCCATCTCTTTTTGGTTTTGAGCACTCCTAACTGTTGGTATAGTTTTGCACCATTGGCGTTCTTGTAATTTTCAGTGTGAGGTTCCTTAGAAATAGTTAGGAAACTTTTGACATTTTCAAGTATCATTAAAATCACTGGCATAAGAAAGTAAGGTATTCTTCTGTCATGTCTTTAAAGGTTTGGAATCCCGTTAACAATGTATCCTCATACTGGTCATATCCGGACATTATGAAACATTAATTTAGGAATAAGTCGGCTGAAGTCAAATTTTGATGTTAACTAGTTCTTCAATTTCATGAGTTGATCAGTTGCAAAGCAGGTCATTTGTGCGTTCCAACTTCTTAGACTGTTTCACTGGAAGCTCTCAGTCAATATCTTCCATAACCTTTCACCATGATCAATTGTAGTATCCTTCTTTTTATACCTGGTTCTTGTATCATTGAAGAGTCTAAAAACAAGAAAAGGAAGTGCCTCACAGTCATGATTACCCCAAGGATTTGGTTGGTTTGTCTCACCTATACATATATATAAAAGCATTATCTTTTGTTCGGGTGTAGTATACCTTCAATTTTCTTATGAGCTATACATATTATTATGCTTCAACACGTGTAAAATATTTTGTAGGTGGTTGTTCTAGTTGGTATGCTACTTGGCTTTCAGCATTGCCACTTGGGTTCTTGAGCTGCACACTACTTTTTCTTTTTCTCCCTCATAGATTCCAAGTGACACAGAAAGATTTTCAGAGATGTGGTACCTCATGCTAAAAACCTTTCTAAAAGACCTACCGCAGGAACACATAGTGGGAGCTAGCTTTCCTCTTTGGTTTTGTATGGATAATTTCTTTGTCAGAGAATTTGATTGCTGTGATCTATGCATGTGTCATTCTCATGAGACTTTCGTGACTTCTATTTTTGTTTATGAATTGTGGCCTTCACCTTGGATGACTTGTGTTGGAATTGGAGCTGATTTTTTATAATTCATCGAATCCTTTAGAAAAATAGCCTCTGTGTTTCTTTTCCTCAGAATTATTTTTAGTAGTCTCAGGTGAGCATATATTGAGCAGCTTCTAAATTGTTGTTGATCTACAGGTTAGTAGAAACACACATATTTTCTTTTGTTGTGGGAAGAGCATTTGTAACGGATATTGAAAAATTGAAAATTAGCAGCAAAACAAGATCTTTGGAAGTTGAGAGAGTATTAAGCTTTTTTTCGGAAATTACAAAGGTTTGCATTTAGATGCTAATATCTAAAATTTTTCTTCTCTGTCTTTCCCCTTTTAAATTCTCCTTTTCCAGTGGTGAATGTTATATATAAGTATTTACTAAGTAATATTCATTCGTGCTTCTCCACAGGATGGCATCAAGCCTGGTTCAAATTTATTAGATGCAGTGGAAGTCCTTGTATCTGGGGTACATCTGTAAACTTTATTTCTTTTTCCAATTTTTTTGTAGTCTGGCTTTCTGACTCATAGTTTACTTTAGTTTCGATGCAATCTTCACAAGTTTAGGTTTTCTTTATTCTCTAGCCTCTTAAAAAATTTTAACGCTGTTGTCAAAAAATTTGTTAAAGGCGAGACCACTCAAGTATCTATATTCCTTTGAAATTTAGATTGCATTGTTGTTGAGTGCATGCAGTGACCTAATGTTGTTATTTTTTGAATTATGGATACAAAAACTCGCATGCCTGGACGTTAGCATCTTTCAGTTTTCTAATCACTACTGGCATATAATGTTTGCAGCCTATTGATAAACAATCTCTCCTTGATTCTGGGATCTTATGCTGTCTCATTCTTATCCTCAACACTCTTTTGGGTCCTGATGTGGGCAATAAAGGGAAAAAAGTTACTACTTATGAGGACACGATACCAGAGGATAGAAATTTTGATGGTGATTTAGGACCAGTCCGCCGGCTTGAGGTTGCTTTCTTTCTTTATGTTACATTCTATGTATTAGCTAAACTTGTTTCTTTCAGCACATAGGTTTTCCGCATAATTGTTACTATGTTGGTAGATCTAGACCCTGATTATAGCATCTTTTAGGCAAAAGCCTTTTCACATATACCCCTGTTCGGTTCAAATATTTCTTATCCTTTGGGGCATCTTGCCACTTTTTTAAGTTATGATGGGGAGAAGTCATGCTTATATGTCATATTACTACGTATTTTAACTTGGTCTAACTTTGGTTTGGGCAAGTGATGATACGTACACTGCTACATCCTTGTAGTGGATCATATAACAAGGCAATGGCACTTGATAATAGCAAAAAAATAAAAGGCAATGGCACCTGTGTGCGGAACTTGGCCTAGATATTAGTTGCTTAGCATGTTGATCCTAGTTACATCCGTCTAATATCCATGGCCAACTTGTACAAGAATTGTTTGGCTATTCTGAGTATGATCTAAACATCAATTATTGAAACTTAATTCCTTAGTACCAAGGTCATTGACTCATTAATGTCTTCACTTGCTGATGTAGGTCGTATTAAGAAAGAATTAGGGATGAGAAGGAAAAAAGAAGAGGATGAGAAAAGAAGAAGAAGGTTTGAGAAAAGAGAGAATTTGAGGAAGAAAGATTCAATATCAATAATTAATAATAATCAAAGTCTAGTCTCCCAACAAATATGTATCCCCTATAAATATAAGAGTTCACAAATCCTATATATATAAGGAGATCACAAACCCTAAAATAAATAAATAATCAAAATGACAACTAAACCCTTAAAAGTTAAAAGAAATTACTTAAACGATAAATATTAAAAGTATCTAAATAACTGTCATAATTAATCTATAATGTCTATCCAATTTTTACACGATCCCCATCATTCTCCTCCGGTTGAAAAAAATCTCTTCCGAAGAGTTTTTAAAGTAGAAGTACCCTAAGAGAACAGGACGAAGATGATATAATATCTCATCTAAAATGAAAGAACCATCAATATCTTTCCATTGATCAGAATAAATGCAAAAATCTCTATCTGTAACAATATAAATCTGGTCACGTAACACATCATCCATTTGCCCAAAAATACGCGATGAAAGTGTAAAGATAAGAGTTGGAGCAAATGCTGAGGAAGAAGCAATTTCACATATAGAAACACCTGATAACAAAATAAGAGGCTCTGGAGTACCTCGATTAAGTAGCATGTCCTCTAAATAAAAAATTTGGACTAATACTAACATTCCATGAAAAATTAAACAAATAAGTATTAGATCCAAACTTGAGAATAGAAAAACAATTCTCATTAGGTTTCAACAAAAAATATTCAATGGGACAAGATATCGATGACAAAGGAGTAACATTGACGTCTTGGTGCTGAAAATAATTAAGTACCAAGTCAAGTAAAATTTTAATAATAGGAATAAAGTCAACTATTTCAGAGGGGAAAGACTTGGGAACAAAGTAAGCTTGACTTGAAATAGGAAATACAAAACAATCACCAAAAGATTCTAAAATAGGTAACTCAATGTTCTTGACATCTTTCATAAGTGTGGACTTGACAGACTTTTTAACAAGTTCCATTACAAGTGGTGACCCAACATTTGACTCTGACAAAGACTTAAACTCATTTTCTTCAGGTATTAACTTTTGTTGGTATAAAGGAGGTGAGATCTGATACCAAATTAATGTAGATCGTATTAAGAAAGAATTAGGAATGAGAAGGGAAGAAGAATGAGATGAAAAAAGAAAAAGAAAGGGATGAGAAAAGAGAGAATTTGGGGAAGAAGGATTCAATATCAATAATCAATAATAATCAAAATCTAGTCTCCCAACAAATATGTATCTCCTATATATATAAAGAGTTCACAAATCCTATATATAAGGAGATCACAAACCCTAAAATAAATAAATAATCAAAATGACAACTAAACCCTTAAAAGTTAAAAGAAATTACTTAAACGATAAATATTAAAAGTATCTAAATAACTGTCATAGTTAATCTATAATATCTATCAATTCCTACACGATCTCTATCATTTGCTTATGTGGAAAACTGCCATTGCCGAATTAAATTGTTCAGGTGGCATTTGTTTTGTGTTTTACATCAGTTTTTTCATGCCAACTACTTGTCCTATGTTTGCCTACTCTTCCTGTGGCTATGCGACTGAACACGCATTAGGCCATGAAATGATTTTGGAAAGCTAATTACTCAATATGATAGCATGGTCAGGCAGTTAAGGATATGGTTACTGACGACATTGTTTTTCAAAATTTGCTTATAGTTGTTTCCTTCATGCAGGTGGAGGGAAGTGTTGTGCATATTATGAAAGCATTAGCAAACCATCCTTCTGCTGCGCAAAGTTTGATTGAGGACAATTCACTTCAGTTGCTCTTTCAGATGGTTGCCAATGGGTCTTCGATTGTTTTTTCTCAGTACAAGGAAGATCTTGTTCCCTTACACACCATTCAGCTTCATAGACATGCAATGCAGGTAATCCTCTTGTTGCATGCGATCAGCTACACCTGCATTCTGAGAGCTGTGAATTTTATATTTTTCTAAGTTAAGTACACTCTGAATATCTATGCATCACCATGGTGTGATTGTTGGGTTTTATTCTTCTAATATTCACTTTTGTTCCAGATACTTGGTCTTCTTTTGGTTAATGACAATGGAAGCACAGCCAACTACATACACAAGCATCATCTGGTATGCCATTGCATTGAACTGTTCCTTTTAATCCCCCCCTCCCCCATCTTCTTTTTTCCTTTCTTCATAATTGAAGTGGACGTCGTGTACCAGAAATTTATCTCTAGCATTGTGGACACGTGTTATAATTTGTCTCTACTCTCAACAATTTGTATTTCAGCTGGAAATTGTTACCTTTTCACAAGTGTTCTGTTTTAATTTTGACTTAACTTGCCATTTGTGGTTTTGCTTTTAAAGGCTATTCAAAGGATGAAACTTTTGGGTGCCTGGAGGTGATGACATGCTCAAATAGGAATTGGGATTTTGCCTATTAGTCCTTTTGGTGAACTAACCTGAATACTTATATCGCAAATTCTCTTCTCCCCCCCCCTCCTAAAAATGGTTTCACAAAACGTATGCTTTGCACAGTGGTTGTCCAGACTTTTTGGCTGTATTGTGCCATCTATGGTGAAGTGTTTGAAATATGAGCCTCAAGTCNCGCAAATTCTCTTCTCCCCCCCCCTCCTAAAAATGGTTTCACAAAACGTATGCTTTGCACAGTGGTTGTCCAGACTTTTTGGCTGTATTGTGCCATCTATGGTGAAGTGTTTGAAATATGAGCCTCAAGTCTCGTGGAATAGCTGTAAGTNTTACCATGACCATGATGTCCAATCAAATTTCCACCTCTTTCATTTTTTATTTTTTTTTATAAACCCTCATTCCTTGATTGTGCATGGTTTATATGGATGAGTTTCTCTCGAGTTTTCTCAGGGTTATACTTAATTACAATATTATATGCAAGCATAATAAAACAAAGCATCTTGTAAGTTTCATGTGTAGAATAGTAATTTGTTTGACTTATTTGATACTAGATTTCCCAGCTTGAATATTTTATTTAGTTTTAATGCATCCCATGTGTGCGTGTTCAACCAATTTCTATGCCAGATCACATTACCCTTGAATAGAAATGATCATTACGATAAGTTTTAGACCAAGTCTATAGTCAATATCAGCATTTTGTGATTTTTTTTGAGTTATACAGTGCCTTCAGACACTGTCATTATCTAGTATGTATATATTGTAGGATGAATAATAAGAGCAGTAGAAAAACTGATGTAGATCGTAGTAAGAAAGAATTAGGGATGAGAAGAGAAGAAGAAAGANTGAATAATAAGAGCAGTAGAAAAACTGATGTAGATCGTAGTAAGAAAGAATTAGGGATGAGAAGAGAAGAAGAAAGAGATGAGAAAAGAAGAAGAAGGGGATGAGAATAGAGAGAGAATTTTAGGAAGAAGATTCAATATCAATAATTAATAATCAAAGTCTACCAAAACAAATAACATATTCCCTATATTTTATAGGGAAAGCACAAATTCTAAAAGAACTCTAAAAGAAATAAATAGTTATAATGACAACTAAATTCCTGAAAAGTAAAATGACAAATAACTCCTAATTACTACATCTACGTCTACAATAACGAAATATAATCCAATTCCTATCATTTTTCCCCGGCTGAAAAGAACTCGCCTCCGGAGAGATACGATCATGATAATGCTCTAGAAGATCAGGGTCAAGGCAACGAAACTCCTCAATAATCCATGAATCATCAGTCTCTGAACGATCTCTCCACCGAACAAAGATAACGACGATATCCTCCATCCAAGGAGCCCACAATCTAATCGTCAAATACGTCTGCAATCTGGTCATGCAGCTGTGGTGGAAATAGTGGAAGAATAGAAACTGTAAGTGATGTTGATAACGAAACATCTCCACCTATAGGAACACCTGTTGGCAACATAGGAGGCTCAAAAGTACCATGATAAGGAAACAAGTCCTCCACATTGAAAATAAAACTAATACTCATATTTGAAGGTAAGTCAAGGTGATATGCATTAGGTCCAAGCTTACAAAGAATACGAAAAAGGCCAGTAGCTCAAGCATATAACTTTTTGAAAGAATTTTTAAGGGAATGTTCAGGATGCACACGAACCATGACATAATCTCTCACAATAAATTCTTTATTCCTACGGTGAACATTTGTAGCCAAGTTATAATTCTCATTACTTAATGTAATTTTCTATCTTATGTCGGTATGCAAATCATGAATATGCTGGGCAAAAGTTTCAACTGAGTGTGAAGGGCAGGAATCAGGAGGTAAAGATAATAAGTCAATAGGTTGTCTAGGGGAATGGCCATAAACAATCTCAAAAGGGAATCTACCAATCGACCCGTTGACGAAGTTGTTATAGGCAAATTCAACAGTAGGCAACAACAAATCCCAATTTCGTATCTTCTCACTCACTAGACACCTAAGAAAATCTCCTAATCTATGATTGACAAACTCAGTTTGACCAATCAATTTGGGGATGAAAAACAGAAGAAAACTTAAGACTAGTCCCAAAGAGTTTCCATAGTGTCTTTCAAAAATAACTCACAAAGTTGACATCCCTATCAGACACAATGGAAATAAGAAATTCATGTAGTCAAACGACCTCTCAAAAAAATAACTTTGCTATATGTGAGGCATCAGTAGACTTAGTGCAAGGAATGAAATAGGCCATCTTAGAAAACCAATCCATGACAACTAGAATGGAATAATAATTACGGGCTGTTTTAGGCAATCCCAACACAAAGTCTATACTAAGGTCTTTCCATGGTGTATGTGGAATTGGTAATAGTGTGTACAACCCAGTGTTTTGTTTCTTAGCCTCTGCTAACTAAAAAGTACAACACTGTGACACTATCTTAATAATGTCACGCCTCAAAATGGGCCAATAAAACCTATCATCAACAATTGCAAATGTCTTATCCCTAACAAAGTGGCCTGCCAGACCTCCTGCATGTAATTCCCAAATCAGGAAATCCCTAAGTGAAGTACAGGAAATACATAAGCGCGACCCTCTAAACAAGTAACAATCTCTAAGGAGGAAATCAATGTACTAATGACGGTTACCAACTTGAACATCCTGAAAAATGATACCAAAGTCAGGACAAGAGGCATACTCATCTCTAATCCTATCAAAGTTGATCACATGAACACTCATAGTCTGTAAAACAGCAACTAAAATAGCAACTACACGGCTAAGAGCATCCGTAGGCTTGTTTTCAATGCCCGCTCGGTTGTGAAGAATAAAAATATACTCCTGAAGGAGCTCAACCCACCTAATGTGCCTAACACTCAATTTTCTCTGGGAATGAAGGTATTTCAATGATTGATGATCAGAATATAACAAACTCATTTGGCATTAAATAATACCTCCAATGGCGGAGAGCTTGTACAACAACGTAGAACTCTTTGTCATATATAGAGTATCGTTGTTTAGCTTCATTAAGCTTTTCGCTGAAGTAAGCAATAAGATGACCTTCTTGACTCAAAACTCTACCTATCCCTATACCAGATGTATCACAGGCAACCTCAAACACTTTAGAAAAATTTGGGTGCCAAAGGATGGGTGCCTCTATCAGCTTGTGTTTAAATTCTTGAAAGGCTCTAGTTACAGCAAGAGTCCATTGAAACTCCCCTTTTTTCATGCACTCTGTGATGGAAGCCATAATGGAACTAAATCCCTTAATAAAACGTCTATAGAAGGTGGTCAAGCCATGAAAGCTTCGAACTTCAGAAATTGTTCTTAGCTCTGGCCAATTCCTAATAGCACTAATTTTCTCTGGGTCAGCCGCAATACCATGCGCAAAAATAACAAATCCAAGGAAAAGCAGTTGAGTTTGTATAAAGGAGCACTTCTTAAGGTTCGCATAGAATCTTTCCACCCGTAATGTTCACAAAATCTGTCGAAGATGATCTAAGTGTTCTTCTTTAGACCGACTATATATCAAGATGTCATCAAAATAGACCACCACAAATTTTCCTAGGAAAGGACGCAATATCTGAGTCATAACCCTCATAAATGTACTAGGTGCATTAGACAATCCAAAAGGTATGACCAACCACTCATAAAGTCCATCCTAGGTTTTAAAGGTGATTTTTCATTCATCTCCTAGTCTAATTCGGATTTGATGATAACCACTACGCAAATCAATTTTGAAGAACAAAAGTGCACCAACCAAAAGGTCAAGCATATCTTTAAGTCTCGGTACAGGAAATCAATACTTGACTGTAATTTTGTTAATGACACGGTTATCAACACACATTCTCCAAGAGCTATCTTTCTTAAGGGTTAACAAAATATGGACAACACATGGACTAAGACTATGACAAACAGACCCCTTTTGCAAAAGTCCCTCTACTTGCCTTTGGAGTTTAGCACGCTCAGTGGGATTCATACAATAATGGGGTAGATTAGGCAACTGAGATCTTAGAACTAAGTCAATAGTATGCTGAACATCTCTCATTGGTGGCAACTCATCGGGTAGTTCCTCAAGGATCACATTATGGAACTCTCTCAATAGACTATCAACCTCAGGCAAAAAATCGTCCTTAAATTCCAAAGGACTCTGAAAAACTTCTTTGACAACTAGAGCGACCACTACACCAGACTCTTTTCTCTCTTTTTCAAATCCCCTATGGGTCAAGATGTGAAAGTCTTTCTTGTGAATTATTTGGGAAGATGACCTATACTTTGAATTATTACCTTTTGAGAGTTTTGCAGGTTTAACTTAATAGTTTTCCCCTTATGTTTAAAAACATAGGTATTTTCCCTCCCATAGTTTGTCACATCTAGGTCAAAAAGTCATGGGTGACCTAACAAAACATGAACGACATCCATGGGTAAGACATCACACCATATATGATCTGAATAGTCACCCATCTGAATAGGAACCAAACATCTCTATGAGATTGGTAAGGAGGTCTTGTCAACCCATGCAACCTTGAAAGGTTGTGGGCGTGTCTCTGGCTTAGGCTGTAATTGAACTACAGCCGACTTAGAGATGACATTCAATGAACTTCCCCCATCAATGACAACCTTGCAATCTTGGCCCCCACATCGGATTAGAGTATGGAAAATGCTGGTGCGTTTCCATGTTTCTGTGCCTAAAGGGGTGGATAAGATGCATCGCATCACATTGACACAGGTGTCATCGTTCTACCATTCTTCCTCACCTTCATCTAGTAATTCTAGGGGTTCCTCATCTAAAGGATCAACTTCTTGGTCAACATCCTCTCCATCAAGTGAATTCTCTAACCCTCGGCTGATGGTCAAGATATGTTGAGGGCACTGTGAAGTAAGATGACCCTTGCCATGACAACGGTGACACTCTATGGATGAACTGTCTTGACGAGAACCTGTGAGTGTAGAATCTCGACCCCTAGTGGTATTATCTCTCAAGTTGGGGTAAGT